ATTGGAGCAGCATTGTTAGAAACTTGACCCTGCTTTTATGTTCGGTGTTGAAAGGCCTTTCTGTAAAATCCCTTATTCAAAGCCTTTTTTCACTGAAAAAAAAAAAATTTTTTTTTGTTTGGTTTAGCTATAGCATGGATCTTGGTTTTAATTTGACACTTACAGTGAAGGAGAAAAAAATTTACTTCCTGTTTTTACATTTAGGAAACTTCTGATCAACATTCTTGAACTTGATACATTGATGCTAATTAAGCTTCCAGGAACTTCTGCTTTACCCTTCTTAATCAGAAACTTTTAAAACCTTTTGCAGTTTTTCTTGGAGTTCCTGGTTTTAACTGGGACCGGCTTAAAGTAGAAATTTTGTTACCTTTTTGTATGTTTGGATTTTTTTGTGTGTTCTGTTTTTAACTTTCAACTTGAGTTTTAAGATCATCAATCATAGGCTTTTTTTTTAAGTCAATGGCACTGCTCTCAATAGCAGGACTTAGAGGGTCAGCATTTCCCTCATGCAATTAAAAAGAATTAAATGTAGAGAGTATTTTATGAATTTGAGCTCCAAACTGATCTTTTCATCACATACCTACATTTTGAAATGAACAGATAGATGGAAGAAACGCAGGACTTTTCTCGCACCAGCTTCCCTCATTTCTTTTACTGTCTTGCCTTGGACAAGGTAAATTATCAACGGCTCTATCACCTTTAGGCAAGCCACAAAGAGGCTAATTGTGGCTTTACATATTTTAAAACACATTCATTTATTCACGCTCTTTATTTAAATGTCCCCCTCCCCCGCACACATATTCCTCCTTTGAACTATTGAAAATATGTCTCATCTCTCAACATTCTATAACTCCACTGAACATTATAATCAGCGTGCACTTTTATCTTTCAGATGGCATTTATTTGTGGTATGGTATGTGTATCTGTATCTGATTGTCACTTGTTTTCATCTACCAAATAAAACTACATAATTTTTGTTCATAGGTAACAATGAAGCAATGAAAACAATATTTGACATTGAAAGGATTGCTGTTTAGTACCTATACCCCTCCAACCCCCGTCCCCCCAATTCAGGGTGAATTGATTGAGTCTGCTTATGCTTAAGAACCCCCAGCTAACTTCATCAAATTTAGTCTTAAAAGTTTTACTTCCAGATAGGACTCCACAATGGATAATAATATACATTTAAAATGTTACTAGATTTCTAAGAGAATGGCTCAGTGCCAGAACATAATCTACTTTTTCAAGATTGAAGCAAATTCCTTTGATGGGCTTTTTGACCTATGAGAATTTGTATTAGGTAAAATGGATCCACAGTACATTGAGGTGAACCTTGGGTTCATTTCTGAATTTCATTTGCAATCGTATTAGTATCGGGTGTATTAATTCATATTTTGGTTCCTACTAAGAGGGTTGGGATCTTCCTATGGACAGAGCTTTGTAGATATTTTCTTTTCTGCTACACAGTGTAATCTGCTGTTGAATATATCCTTAACTGAAAGGTTTGTACAGCTACCTCCCCACAGCACGGCTTCCCTGCCCCCTCCGCTCCTGTTCCTCCTACATGAAGTATCATATATTTTGTTAGAAAGAAAAGCCCTTTTGGAAATTGCCTATTTCATAAATTGTCTGGTGACATAAAGGGGTTGGATGCTGTATTCTTGTCTCATTTATTTTGAAAACTTTGCTACTGAACTCACCTTAATCAATGAGCTCAGTGTTGTCTCCAATAAGTTATGTGTTGGATATATTGATTGGGAGGGATTTTAGAAAACCCGTCTGGGGTTTATAATGTCAGCAGTGTTTTGATTATGAAAAGAGTTGGAACCTGGGGACATGGAACCAGGTGGCGAATGTCCTAAAGCCAGTGGTGACATGGTGGACTGGTTTCCTCCTGGGATCTGGTTCATGCCCTGCACTTTAACTGTGGTGACTGGCTACTATAGATTCACTTTTTTGCTCATTAAAATGTTAAAAAATCAAACTGTACATAAAAAGATTTGTGAAAATATAAACTTGGGAATTGATCTGGAGAGCTGGCACAAAATCCTCCCCACCCCCTGCCTTAGCAATGAGGTCATTTACATTTCATCAGCTGTGCTGCATCTCTGAGATTCCATTTATACAGCAGTAGTTGAAGTTGTACTGAGATTGGTTGTCTGAAAGAGCTCATGTGGGGGAGAGAACAGGAAAATTGATGTGCACAAAGAAAGTTACCTAGTCAGAGTCACAGGTTTTAGAGAGAAAAAGTGAGTTAAGACTGTTCCCCTGGAAAAGATAATATCGAGAGATTCTAGGACGTTCTGCCATAACCAGAATGCTCCAAATAGATTTAAATCAGGGTTTGGAAGCCCCCTCCCTTGGAGAGTGGTCTTTTGTTTTCCTTCTGACAGAGGATAAATACTTAAATATTTGTATACAAAGAAAGCATCACTATTAAGATTAGTTTATTTTAGCACTTTTTATTTACAAAGAACATTGCTCTTTTTCCTTCATCTTCTTACCCTTCTTTTCCCAAACTTAATTCAGTTCCTACTGAGATCCTGTGCAAACATGCCTAGCACCGAGTAGATGCTCATTTTTGTTTTCCTGTGACAGCACACTACCATCTTGTTTGAGTTAAGTTGGAAAATCCAGCTCTTGCAGTATCACAAACATGAAGAAACATATTGTTATGTACAAACATATGCATATATTTGCCTATAACCCCCCCATTGCTTAATTAGACTTATCACTTCCTTCTTGGGTAAAAGGGAAAGCTTGTGGGAAGTGAGTTAATATTCAGTCTACATTAGATAGTTTGGTATTTGTTCTGATACCTGACAGACGAGTTCAAGGTTGGTTATTACTCTTGACATTACAAAGCGGTAAGTAGTTTCTATCTTTTAGTGAGTAATAAGTTGGGCATATTAGATTCCTTTGACTCTGCTGCACAGCACAATGCTTCCTTGTAGCCATGGGGGTCCTTTCTTGCAAAAATCTTTGAGGCCTTTGCCAGCGCGACTCCAGCATAGAGTAGAGAAGTGCTTTCTGCACCTGAAACTTTTGAGGGGTAAAAGGTAACTGTCTTTGTAGCTGATATGGGCAATGAGTGAACACTTGGTACTGAGTTTTAAAGAATACTTGGTACATATCCTGAAGTTAAGAGGTACTTTATGATGTTATTTGAAACTTCAAATAGGATTTTTGGGGGGAGAGGGATAGAAGTCATAAAACTTTGATGCATGTGGGTTGTTTTAGATTTTATAATTAATTAAAACTGCGGATGTTAAAAATGAGTGTTTTATATGATCTGTTTTCCAATACTTGCCTAATAGTAACATAACATTATGCCCTGAGAATTGCTCTTGATTCTCTATTAGCTGTTGCAGTGTATTTAAACAATTGGTTTAAAAATTATATATATATATACACCTTCGAATGTCACGTTATAAATTAACTAATTTATAAGTAGTGCCTCTTGAGAATACGGTGAGCTATTCTTATTCACCCTTTTTCATGTTTTAGTTTCCTCTTCATTACTCTTTTATGTCATGCCTTAACAGTGCTGTGATATACATAGTACCCGTCTAAGATGATATTAAAAAATAGGATATGCTCAACTGAATTATGTAGACAGAACATGCTCTGGCAGAGCAAGTCAGTGTGCTTTCTGCTTCATTGAGTGAGTTATTAGATTGATGTGGTTTATTTCTTGAATGATAGAACTGGTTTTAAAAATAAATGAAGCGAGAAGCATCAATTCAGTTAGCATTGATAATTCATTATTATTGGTTAGAAAAGTGCTACATTTGTAAACTGATCTTTAATTTATCACTTGGATTAGGATTTGTAATGGGCAGGTTTGTTTTAATTTGAACCAGCTTCTCAGTGACTGAAAAATGTGTTCTTCATTTTGTCTTAAAAGTCGAGATTTTAAATAGTTAAAAAGGAAATCAAATACGTGAAAGGAATACTTTTAAAATTTATGACATTGGTCTATGAACTTATGATAAGCACCAACTGTGGGCTATGCAAGCCTGCAGTTAAATTAAGTCACGCTAAAGAAAATTGTATGAAGGAAGTAGTAATTGTTTGTACCTGTGATTAGCTCTGCTCTATATGTGGAATGTGTCTGTTAGGAAGAATCCCACACAACTGTATCTTGAATCTCACGTGCCAGTGTTTATTGTTGTCTTATTGTAAGAAGATTGTCTTCAGGAATAAGTCTTTGAGATACAATGCCACTTTGTGCCCCCTCCTGAAAAATGTACTTGGTTTTCTGTACCTCTTTATTTGTGAAAATGACATTTAAAAAGCTAGTTTGCTTTGGACTTTCATAAATTATAAGCAGGTAAGTATACACAATTATAATAATGATATTTAACTAAAAATAGTGCTTACTTCCAGTGGCTACAGTTTGATTCCAAAATCAATTTATGCTAGAAATGGCAACTTTTTTTAAAAAATAAAATGAGTGTATAAAGTTTAAAACTCTAAAAATGTAGTTGACAGTGTTCAGGGACAATTATCTTCAAGTTGGCTTTCTGTTCTGCTGTGATTTGGCCTATTGATGTTAGGAAGCGTTGTCTAATCCCGGCCCCCTCTGTTCCTAGGTAACAGGCAAAAACAGTGCCAGCAACAGCGGCCCTGCCAGGCCAAACCCATGTGGCTCGGTGTTATTCACTCTGATCCATATGGTCAGGCTGGAGATGGTCCCTGGAGGGGTGTTAACACTCAGCAACCCAACCGCCTCCCTCCCTTCAGAGCTTTCCTGCATGGCTCCTGCTGCTTGCCCATGTGTGATTCTTGATTAATTTTTCATTTTTAATGAAGTTTGATCATGTTTATTATTTCTCATGATTGACTGCCTGGTACTCCTCCCATGTAATTGATAAAGCCCATATTTCTTAATCTGTCTCCTCTTTCTTCAGGGTAAAGTTGCTAGATTGTGTGCTGTGCTTAATGTTAGATTTATTGGTCCCATTAGATGTATAAATTATCTCTTTTTCTCTCCACAGGAAGTTCTACAGACTTTGACCAAGTTTTGTTTCCCCTTCTATGTGGACAGGTAGTGTCAGATTTTCAAACTTTATTAGGAAAAAAAAGTGTCAGTAAACCTGCTATAGAAAATAAAAACCATACCATTCTTAACATTCTGTCTGTTTAACCATGATTTAAAACACCTATGTTCCAGGGAGAGTTGCAGTATTCTCCTTTCCTGGAGGTTTTATTGACACTATCAAAAAGTTTAAAGCTTAGAGCTTTGTATTGGTTAGTTTGTGAGATGTATTTTGTAAGGCATTAAATTTTTGATTTTGGTTGTCAGACTTAAACTATGATTAAGAATGGTTGGTATTTAATCCAGTGCTGTTTAATTTTTATTTAAATAGAAATGTATTTGGTTTAAACAATATTACATGGCTCCATGTTCTTATGATTATTGTGTAGACTTTGTTTTTCCTAAACTTCAACTTACACTTTAAATCAGCATAGGCCTATCTTGTTTAAAGGTACTGAGTTACTTAAAAGGCATGTTGCTAAATAGTATTTTGCATTCTGTTTAGGTGGCTAAGAACGATAACATCTCTGGGGAAATCAACATTTTTCCATAGACTTCTAGACTTAACAAATACACAACCATCTAAACATTTCCTTAGTATTTGTTATGATAAAGTGTTTCTTGGAGAGGTACAAATATAAGAACTTCAAAATAATTAAAATAATTTGAAGGTTTTTCCTTGTTTTAAAAATAAGCCATAAAAGAAGAGCTTTTATTTTTACTTTATAAAATTATACTTTACTGATTATTAATAAAATGACACTACAGTGATTTATATCTAATTTTCAAGAAATATCTACTTTTTCATTATAGTTAAAGCACTATTTACTATAATCATTCATTTGTCCGCTTGATTGTTGCATCTTTTCAATTTCTTTTAATGGAAAGTTGAACTATGAGACTGTACACACATTTTTTTTTAATAGTTCCTCTTTTAGAGACAAGGATTTTAGAAAATAACCACTGTCATTAAATTCCATATGTTCCAAGCAAGCTATAAAATGTGTCTACCTTCAGGAAGGTTCTATCATGTATTTTAATATGCCCAATCTAGGCAGGGTCTGAAAGATTTTAGTGGTTTAGAGTATATTTGGGTAGTGTGCTCTTTGGATCTTTTTCACACTTTGTAGTACTAGTGTCCTGGTTTATTTGGCATAAACCTAACAGTGGTGTGAGATGAGAACTGGTAGCCAAAGGAGTTTAAAGGAGTACTAAAAAGCAACTTTGGAATGTTGCCAGTCATTTATAATTATTGCTCTCCTTGGTTGTAACGTTATTTTTTAAGCCAATTAACTATTGTAGTATTTCCAGACATAGCTCTTTTTAACCATGGTACCAGGAAGAGGTTGATGCTCAAAACAAAATATGCTTAATTTCCAGAGGGTCAGTCTTTGTAATAAGTGTTCTCTTTTCTTTATCCTATTTCTTTAGAAATAGCAAGAAGGTAGGGTTTTGTTTAGAGATATTTAAGCAAACTTCACATTTATATGTATGAATTAGCAATGCGTGAAATCTCCTGCAGTCATTTATAAAAGTATTCCAAATTATGGCCAGGGCATATTTATATGCAGTAATAAAGCAGGAGTGTTTTTTAAAAATGTACTTAGATGTTTAACAAAGAAAGATAAGAATACATTTTTGTATGATTTCTTGTTAAAGTGATGATTTGTTTTGGATAGGTATTCCTTAATTGACTTCATAAACTAATACTAGTAGAAGAAATACATGATGCAGTTAAATCTCTGCCTTGGCCCAGCATACACATGTGCATACCAAATACACTTTTTCTCTCATTTATACTACACACACCCCACTACTTACTTACCTGTCTGAATGACTGCATTCTAAAATGGAAGAAAAACAGGGTCCTTTCAGTCATAATTCTAAAATATATTTTGTTACCAATAATGTTGAGTGCCTTTTCATTATTGCAGAAAAATTTTTTGTTCTAAAACACATTTCTCTGATTTGTTGTCCCCTGATCTTGTTCCTCGTATTATTTTCACAAAGTAACTTAGGAATAGAAGTGACCCTTCATAGATATATTTTAATCCCTACTGTGTAAAATAGTTCTTCTTTACATTGTATTGCATTACATACTGGCACTGTAGATGTTTTCCTGTTAATACAAAAAAAAAAAAACAATTTTGAGGACTCTTTTATTTCTTCTGTTTTTCCCACCTCTAACTGTAGTACACTTTAAGGCAGAAGAAATAATTGAAATGAAGTTCATTTACAAATATACAAAAGTCTTAATAATGGGGCTGGGGATTTAGCTCAGCGGCAAAAGCGCCTGCCTGGCAAGCGCAAGGTCGTGAGTTCGGTTCCTGGTACCGGAGAAAAACCAAAACAAAAAAAAAAAAAAAAAAAAAGTCTTAATGTCAGAATGTTAATTAATTTGGAGTTAGCACTGTCAAATGTCCAGATTATGAAGCCCACAAAGTTCCCCAGGTGTGTCTCATATTGTTTGACTTAGAAAATATACCAGCATGGGAGATGAGCAATGCCCCAGGTGATTACGTTCAAAACAGAAAGCTTCCTAATCTTTTCAGTGTGTGTGCTTTTCTACCCTAAGGAACAATAATACAACTTTCGGTTATTTCTAGCCTGTATCAAGAGTTGGATTTTCACAGTTATCATGAAATCACCCGTTAACATTGACATCTTACTGTCTGTTGTGTTGTTTTAAGATTTTTTTCTTTCAAAAACTAGGATGTATGAAAAATAATAATGCTGGATCTCTTCAAAAGAAAGTACTTTCTCATGTATTACCTCACTTTATCATCCTATCGTAAGACATAAAAGCAAATACCATTATTTTCATGTGAAATAATGTAAACTGCTGAGAAGTTGTGACTTGCCCAAGGTCCTTTTATGTTATAGCTCATGCTAGATTTTCAGCTCCCAAATGAACACATTTTTCAGAAGATCGCGTTGTAGGGTAGAGTAGTCACCAACAATAGAGGGAGGAAAGGAAGGAAATTAGCGCCTGAGTTCCTAATTGATTGTAGTCTGAATGCTGGGCACTGTCTAGCTCATTGTCTTCTATGTATTCTTCCCAGCAGCTCTAAGAGATAATAGTGACATTTTGCCCTCAGAAGAGCAAAAGATGGTTCAGGATTTGCAGTGTAAGGCAGTGGTCTCACACTTGGAGCCCTGCCTTCCATGTGTTTCCCAGGCTAGATCAAGAAGTGTTATAAGGGCATCTTAAACAATTGAAAGGATGGGAAGGTTAAAAAGACAGAAATGGTCAGAGAAAACTTGTCATGGTGGGTGAGATTTGTGTTGAGTCTGCCAGGCCGGCAAGAAGTGGGTAGGTGGAAGGGGGAACCTAACACCCCATATGTACTGCAGAGCCAAGCAGAGGAGAAGCCCTGAGTGAGCTTGGAGATGTTCAGCCAGAGCAGATGGAGCGTGCTGGGAAGAGGGTGACGTGTGCGGCAAGAGCTTGGGCTCTGGCCACAGGAGGCCTTGAAAGTGTGTGGGAGCAAGACTGCAGGATTTTAAAGCTGAGATTCATCTGGTTCAAACATCCCATTCTACAGAGGGGAAGCCAAGATCGGCAGAGGGAAATGGGTGGCTTTTCATCACAACGCTGTCATTGCAGAGCTGGGAAAGGAACGGGTGCTTATTCCCAGTCCAGAGTTATTTCTACCCTTCAGTGTCCCTGAAGCTCTTGTTGGACAGTAGTGAAGAATCACTGCTGAGTTCCCTGTGTCACTCTCAGAAACTTTTCACTATTATTGATGAAAGCAGTCTCTTAAAATAAATAAATAAAAAGCTTGTCCTGATTCATACTGTAGTCACTACTTGCTTGTACTTGATAGTTGACATCCAGCTTCAGTTAGTCAAAACACTTGAGATGAACTGGACAGTGGAAAAGCTGTCCCTTTCATGTTTGTGCTTATCCTCTTTCAGAACCCAGAATGTCAGCTACTACTCAACTGCCTTGTGTATACTTGTACCCACATACGATAGGAGCACGTATGACAGGAGGACATATGACAGGACATCATCTTCACAAGGGCAGAGGCATCATTTCATGGTTTAGAGTTTAACTGCAGATGCAAATATGGTTCAAATGCTACTTTCCAGTTTCTTATGTATCTGTTACATGTGAGACATTGTACTGTGTCTTGTCTCGCCCTGAAAAGCTACATATTTGCAAGGCTACTGTTACCAAGTTGCCATATATAGGAGCAGAGGCTCAGGTAGACCAATAATATGACAAGGTCCCACTCCTATTGTCTGGCAGAATGTTTTCAGAACTCTCATTTGTCTGGCCTCCAAGCCCATCATACTGTTTCTCTTACGCCATACTCCCTCTGTTAGATGCATCACAGAGTAACCAAACAGCTTTTATTTCAAAAGCAATATATATTCATTTAGAAGGTGGAAAATTCAGTTAACTGGAGAAAATGAACCGCACACCAATGAAACATGATTAGCAAATCAGTGTATATCTTCCAGGACCTCTCTTGTTTCTGCCTTCAAATATTGAGCTTGCTCTAATTTTCAATGTCCCTTCTGCTCTACTTTTCAAACTGGAATCTGTCTGGCCCATTTTAACCCTTTAGTTTAACTTACACTATGGATTTGACTATGCCCTGTGAGTATTTTAACAGCATCAGAAAACCTCAAAAACAGTTGGACTTTAGTGGACTGTTAGTTTGGATGCTACCTCTTATTTGCCCTGTGCTGTGAGACAAGTGGCTTCTGCCCCGAGAGCCTTCATTTCTTCCTCACTAAAACGAGGGAAGTGGATGATTGCTCTGCTGTTCCTCCATTTTTTGGATACTTTTTAATTCTACAGTTACTTGCATTTACTTTGTTAGGCTCACCTAGGGAAGTGAGTGGAGAGATACCTATTTTTAGAACTGCATGTTGTGTTCTTCAAGCAGATAAAGTGTTGCCTTTATCTACCACGGGGACCAGCTTTTGGTTCTCAGGCAGTTTGAGTGGGTGTCATTCTTACCTTTTGGATCTTTGACCAGGGAAGGTAAGAAACT